ATACGGTCCCATGTGTTACATTGACATACGATCATTTTAATGTTGAATAAAAATATCAATTTTAAAATGTCATAAATTTTCATTGTTCCTTAAGTGTATTTAATAGTCGTGAGAGGAAAAGTTTTCCGATTATCAAGTTGCGTACAGATATCTTGTAATTTATCATATTGATGTAAAAGCAGAATTAATAATTTATTTGTTCTTTATCTATTTTTACATTGACAGGCAAATAATGACTATTAAATACATATATACATATTCTATAAATAAGATCATAAAATGAAACAAATTTTAGAATATTGATAAAAACAATATACTAAAAATAATAAAAATAACATAAATAATTTACAAAAGCAATAATAATGAAGTCATAATCTTATATCATTACATATCCTGAATTTAATTTTAATTTTATGTAAATATTGAAACAAATATATAAATTTATGTATATAATTATAAGTACGTATATGAAACAAAAGACTAATAAATAAAAATATAAGGAAATAACTATGAAATATAAAAAAAGTAATAAAACCATCAGTACCAAATACTATTAAAAGTTCTGTTTTTTAATTAATCTTTGAAAAAATTTCATTCCCATCTGACAGCATATTTCATTACTATTACATTATTAATTTTGAAGTAGTGTAGTACTGTTGGAATAATTTCAATTAATTCGGTTTTTAGTTGATATAAAAAAGTCAATGGCACCAGCGGGATTCGAACCCACGATCTTCGGCTAGATACGCCGCTGCTCTACCACTTGAGCTATCGTGACCTTGATCCACTCGGACACTAATTTCCCATCTCAACCCTTTTGAATTTTCCCTCCTTTTTTCAATTTTTCAAAAGGTGGGGTTGAGATGGGAAGTTAGTGTCCGAGTGAATCGAAGTCACGATACCTCAAGTGGTAGAGCAGCGGCGTATCTAGCCGAAGATCGTGGGTTCGAATCCCGCTGGTGCCATTGACTTTTTTATCTCAAATAGAAGCCTCAATTAATTGTAATATATTAATTGGTCAAGCGAACACAAATTAGTGCATTTAATAAATAATAATGTTGTTAATTAAATATGAAAATTGAATTATGGCAATAAAAATATGGAACATTGATCTTGCTCTTAAATGAAAGTGTGTCACATACAATAGGATTATTAATTGATTCACTTATTATATATCATTTGACAATATTCAATTTAAGAGAATTATCATTGCACATGGATGCTAGTTTATCCATGTTTTACAGATTGGCATAAGCACAATTTTTAATTTGTCTAAAAATTTATAAAGCAGAAATTTAACATCAACAAAAGCTGATATTGTATCGTTAGTATGCTACAAAAAAGAGGGTAATACAACATCCCTGTTTAACTCCTGTAGACCAAAAATAAGAAGATGATGCTGAATTTAATTTAACCATTATTATTTGAAAGCCAAGACATTGACTATCTGGTGTTGTTTGTACTATCAAACGTCTCTTATACATCAGTATAAATCACATGCAGTTGTTTACCTCATTTGACTGCTTCTAATGTATAAAGTAATGGTACTTGCTATCTACGTATTACATTTGTTAAATGTAAACAAATTATGGTCTGTCGGCAGGGAGGCGGAAGAGTTAAGAAAAACGAAAGATGGTTCTTCAAAAGTGAAAGAGCGGACTGCATAAACTGCTACAAATACATTGGTATTAATTTCACAAAGTCCTTGAAGATGAAGCATCACTCCAGAGAGAAGGCCAGCAGCGCTAAGTACGCCGTTAATAGTCTGTGGCTTAAAATAATGACCTACAAGAAGATCCCACTAGAGAAAAAGATGGTGATATTAAACAGCACCCTAAGGTCTCTAGTATGCTATGGTGCGCAGGTCTGGGGTTACTTATACTTGAAGGAAATAGAAAATGTACAGAAATACTTCATCAAGAAACTGCTCTGCCTGCCAAATAGTACCCAAGACTACATCCTATATATTGAGTGCTGGGTCACACCACTTTACAGTCACTTGAAATATATAAGTAAAATACTCAATCACACACCTGACAGACTGACGCAGTTTTTGGCCGACGTAGTAATAAATAAAGGCATATTATGGCACAAGCAGCTGTCAGAGTTAGGTAGGCTGTACGGTGTAGGAGTAAGTAAGAAAGAACTGAAGTCTTCTAATACCACGTATCTGATAAAAAAAATGGGAGGAGAGCAAAAGGAAAACCTGATAACCCGCGCGAGAAACAGCTTACATCACAACTTGTACGCAAGACTGGATTTTCACTTAGGGCGAAACTACATGGAGTGCTCTGATATGACAGCCTATGAAGTGTCTCTGGTCTTGAGGGCGAGGGGTGAATTACTTCAGCTGAACTGCCAACCGTGGAGACAGGACCGCGCAATCAATTGCTCCTTATGTAACCTCAACGTCCCGGAGGACACTCTCTACTTCATGCGTGTGCCCCGTTCTGAGAGAGTTCCGCCAAAGGTACTTTGGGAAACTGAAGCTGGATGTAGAAGAAGTCATTGCAATCCTCAACGGAAGGGATAACTGGAGGAAGCTTGTGGTTTACCTCTCTCACGCCCTGCGGTACCGAAAATACCTGGTTGACCAATTCAATTTTTAAAATCAAAGTTCATTCTAAAGATACAAAAATTGATAAAGCAACTTGACAGACGGCTAAGGCAATTGTCAATTTAGCTTTTTCTTTGGAAATGTAAAGTTAATGTAAATACTTTGTGTAAATAAAGCCTAAAATTCATTCATTCATTCAAATGTAAACAATGTTTGTAAATCTCAGGCTCTGAAGATGATCTCAATAAAGATCGAAACGTTTGGCACAATAAAGAAAATTCACTAATTTCGTGGTCCGCTTGACCAATTAATATATTACAATAAATTAAGGTTTTTAGTTGAGATAAAAAAGTCAATGGCACGAGCGGGATTGGAAATTGAAAAATGGCAAAAAGGAGGGAAAATTCAAAAGGTGCGGTTGAGATGGGAAGTTGGTGTCCGAGTGGAAAGAAAATGTTTTTCTGAAACCTACATCACACCAGACCGCATCTCACGATTTCTGAATAAGTAAAGTATAACATTAAATTTTTAGCAAGAATGAAGCAATCCCATTAGTGGATGACCATCGTATTGTACAAGCTGCTGAAGAAGAGGGGAAGTTATGCTAAACCCGAATTACTGTACTATTATGCGGAATGGTGTACAGAAATCGCCGTTCAACTCTGGCTACACCGGAAACAATAAATAATATTGTTGATAATTAAATATGAAAAATGAATCATAGCATTAACAATACGGAATATTGTCCTTGCTGTTCAAGGAAAATGTGTAACATACAGTAGGTTTATTAATCGGTTAACGAATTATAGACCGGGCAATAACTCTATACAAAACAAGGGAGTAAGTGTAGTCACAAATGAGTTACACGGGTTAAGCGAGTCTGCTTGGTTTGACCAATTAAATTGCCGGACTACAAGCTTCAACTTCCAACTTTGTTTAACACAGCGAAACATCCCAACTTCACCAATTGACTGAAATATAACTTTGCGGCTCTACCAGATCTTGTAATAGCGGTTGCAAAACCAAGTCGCGATACAGTCCATTGTGGAATCGGCCTGCTAGCGTGAATTGATAGTTCCTAGAATCTTGCCGGCTACTTCGGATTTGGAGAGAAATATATAATCTGGAGAAAAACCCCTTAAGAGTGGGTACGAATGAACGGAAAAGAACAGAATCAGGTCAATGCTTTTTCTTGTTTATTCTTTTCTCTTTATTCGAGTTTTTTTCTTCCTCTACCTCAAGCAAATAAACGAGGTGAAGATGTTTATAATTCAGGAATCAATAATCCCAGAAAACGTCGTCATTAGTGGTTTATCTTTGTCCACTCTTGATTAATTTTTCCAATAGTATTTTATTATCCACCTTCGGCTTGAATCAATGTTTAATTAAATTTAGGCTTAATTTTGAAATGGTAATGCTGACTAATTTGTCTTCCCTTTACCCACGATATTTGATCGGTTTTTCATTTCTAAACGTTAAAAACTCCAGCAAAAAAACAAAATTAAAATTACGAATGACTATATAATGCAATTTCCTGTGGAGGTTTTGAATTAACTGATAAACATGAAAATAATAATCAAACTTTAAAAAAAAAATTATTCAACAGGGAGAATTCCGCAACAATAGCTTAAAGCTAATTCTCAACGTTCAAAAAACAGATTACTAGGGATTGCACAGACTTTCGTAGAATTAGTTTTAAAAATTATTCATTGGAATTACAAAAAAAAAGTGCGTCGTGGGCGGCGTCGTCGAAGAGGCTCTTGAGAATCAAGAGCCCGACCAGTAGTTGGCCCTGAGCAGGAGGCGAGGGACCCTCACTGAGGATTGGCCATACGCGGTTGACACACGGGTACTTGCTTTTGGGTCAAAGCCCGCGCCGGTACCCCTTATTCAGAGAAAGGTTGCTCGATATGTCCCACATTATAGGGGCGTGTCATGCCTTGGCTCCATACAGAGCGTGTAGGCATTCCTACTGATTAAAGAATGGTTCTGGGACGAGTTTCAGGGTCCCCGCTCCCGCTTTTTAGGGAAATTGGGATTTTTTTAATTTTATATAGCTTTCAAAATATGTGTTTTGTGTTTCTGTGTTTCATATGAGTGAGTCTATTTATTAGAATGATTGGGGAGGGGCTGATGGAATAGCAGCCTCATCGCCTCTCGAGGTGTGTACGTGACTTGGGTCGATGGCAGAATCGATCGGTAAAAGTAGCCCATCGACCCAAATTAGATATGTTTGTTATTGTATGCTGTTCGTTGGAGCAATAATGAGTACTCCATCTACCAAATAGGTGTGAATGAATTCAGTTTTATGAATGCGTACTGAATGTGTGTTGTCATATTTTATATGCGCTCGGGGGTGAAACAGCAAAGCTGTCGTGTTCTTAAATACATATATATAAATATACTATAAATAATTTCTTCAAAATTGATATATTTGCAACCGGTGAAAAATTATAATGTGTAAAAAACAAAATAAAAAATTATCTTGAAACATTTGTTCCCACATAAGGTTTATTCAATGTAACAGAAAGAATTACACCTGCGAATAGAACGATGTTAGTCAGATAACACCCGCCAAAAATTAAATAATCTTTCTTCAACAAATTGAGTTTTCTGTAGGTCCAATAAACAGCGAGAATGGCGTTGACGATGTGGACATCGAAGGACAACAACGCCAAACAAAATACTCTAATTGGGGGCGGTGAGTGTACAAAAATAAACCGTAAGTAGTAAATGAGAACGATTGATGTGGACATGCTATAAAGTGCCATCGGCGGAAGGTCCCAGATGGCATCAACCCGAGTAGGAAGATCGACGTCATATTTCATGATGGTGTCCCCGGAAATGACGTGGCTGTACGATTTCGGCTTGAAATGAAACTTAAAACTGTTCTTGTACAACTCTGAAGATACTTGGTACGTTCCCGATTCCAAGAAAAAAACTTTTTGCTTTGTAAGTTTTGGCATTTTGATTGTATGTGAAACCGGTTTACCTCTCAATGTCAGCCCTTCGAAGAGAAGCTCCAGATCTGGTGAATCGGGCAGGGCGTTAATGAAAAGCAATTGGGTCATGGAATGTTTGTTGGTAAAGTTAAACTCCGGTTCGAAATCATCCACCCTGACAAGATCACCGTCGGTCCTGATCACATAAATGACAACGTCGTTTTTCTTCACGACCAAAGACTGAAATGATAACCCCAAATGCCACGAGAGTCGTGAGTTATAAATTATTCCGCGACATATGCCATACTCATCGTCCACATCGATGTTGCTCACGTAGTGCGATTTTCCTGGGCTGACAGTTAACGAGCCGGTGAATTGGGAATCTATTGTACTCGAAACGTTCAATGCATTGTGTATTGTCAAAGTGCCCACGTCTACGAAAGACTGTTGGCTGTAAATCATCATTTCAATGCCAGAAACAGTTATTAGGGCTCCGCCAATCAGAACATGTCCTATTGAAAAGTAGATAATGGCCATTTTGTAATTGGTGTCTTTTGTGAAAAAAAACGGAATTATTATGAATTCGAAGACTAAAATTGTGATTACGGACAAAAAGGAGACGGTCATGTCTACCGTTCTAGAAGACAACATAAATTCCCATCGTGATAACGCTGACGCCTCGGTTATCCAACTGATGTAAATCATTTTTACAATGAAAAAGTAACCGACAAAAGGCGATAAAAAAGCAAGAAGTTGCACCAAACTGGTTGTGCGTACTATCACTTCGTGAGTAAGAATATACTCGATCACGTCTACATCGTCCATTGAAGGCATCCGAAAACTGAACCCACCAGAATTTGTGCTCATTGCTGCAGCTCTCCATAATAGTAGTTTACTTCTGTTCCGACGGACTTTGTTGTCAGTGAGGTAACCGTAAGTCATAAAGCATTCAATCATGGATTCGATGGACCTCTCTTTGAAATGGCGATGTATAAGTTTAGACTTGAAAGAGAAAAGCGAAAAGAGAAAAAATGTGAGTGAAATTGCAAACATTGTCATGCTTATTTGAGGATAATATGAACCTCTATGCATTATAAATGTACATAAGCCAAAGAAAATTTCACTTACGTTTCTGGCGATGACTATAAGGACGCACATGTTTTCTATAAACTTGACGTCTTGAGTTATTTCGTACTGGTCAAGCACAAATACAATGTAGACCGGGTTTACAGGAAAAGCGGTATAGATGAGCATTTTCCCCATGTAGTATATCACGGTCAGTAAGATAGATTGGTTTCCTAGAACGCCGATAAGAGAAAATGCCAGAGCCATTAAGTAAATGCCGATTAAGACAATGCTAAAACCGCAGAATATGACTGGCAGCTTCCCGACGTGCGAATCAGTTATCCATGCTAAAATCAATGTTATAATACCATAGGTTAAATCCCAGTAGCAATTTCTCAAGAGGACAGTGTTGTGAGGCACTTTCAACGTAAAGATTTCAAATTCCGACATAAAACGATACATAAATCGGATTATTACCTCCATCCAACAAGCAAACACTGCTAATACTACGACGAAAGGGGGGAATGACCCTACCTCGGCCGATGTCATCCTCGACTGCTTCATAACAGTCCGTCTACGCTTGTACTCTTCATAACTGTGTCCTAACACAGAGATAGGCATATTGTTGTTTTGAAGCTTCTGTCGTAATTTTACAATGTAACGATTACCAAATTATATTAAATACAAACAAACATGTGTATTATTTGAGTTCACCATATGATTGACGATTGCCCATATAGCAAGATTTGTTAGTTTTAAGAAAATAAGTCGATAACTGCTTGAAATATTTGAATTTTGGATTAGCGTATTTCATAAAAAAAGATCCCTGATCTGTTTTCATAGTGCAAAAAAGCTTTTGTATCTTCTTAAAAAATGTTAGCAGTAACGTTTTTCTTTTATAAAGACAGTGTCATTTTAGATAGTACGGCTCAATTTCTCTTGAACCAACGTTGTTCCGAAATTTTGGAAAGGTTTTAAGATTTTAAACAAACAAAATGATGTACTCCGGACTTACAATTTTAAGCCGTAACTCTTAAAACAAATTTAAAACGTAACTCTCATCTTGACCAGGGACTTCGGGACTGTGAATATGACAGGCGTGTAACGTTCCTTGGACCATTGTCGATTTGGGGGCTGAAGAAAACGTCCTTTCATACAAACTATGGTCTGATGAATTCAAGTTCACCTTTAATGGCATACTAATCATTTGGAAATTTCAATCGATGGCAGAGGAAAATCCGAGAATTTTGTACTCATTATCAGGTGGTTCACAAATAAATAAATTGTGCCTTATTTCTACGAAACTCGTGTAAATGGTACTCAGTTCCTCAATTTTCTGTGGTGATTTCGCCAACACTGTTAGATTATGTTCTTCTGCAACAGCAACAAAGAATGATTCTCCAGCTTGATCGATGCCCCGCACACACTTTTTTGCAGGTGAGACGTTATTTGCATCGTTACTTCCGGGATAGGTGGATATGACCTCATGGTATGTTGGGACATTTAAAACACACTATGGCAAAAGATTTCTATCTTCCGTCTCCATTGGAAGAACTAGTCAAAAGACAATTTTTTTGAAAAGGCAGTGACTATTTTCATAACACTTTACGATTGAAATGAAACTGTCGAATCCCCCTTAAGTTCTAGACGTTAATGATGTCCAAATTATAAGAAGATTATATCAAAAGATCAAAGAGATTATAGATGAGAACGGACGAATTTCTGGGGCAGTTGAGTATAAAAGAGGAGTTCGCCCGGGATTTATTTTTTCACCTGCCCTATTCAATAAATACGCTGAATGCACAAGTCAAGTTATCTCAGAAATTTCAGAGGGCTTAAAAATAAATTGTACAACATACGATATACCGTTGATGCTGTGATAATAGAATGATCAATGGAAAAATTGAGCTGTAATAAAAATAGTTATAATGTGAGTGAAATATAAAAATTAAGAAAACTGACTATATGATACTCCAAACAGTTATACTGACTGTTGAGAGTGAAATTCCTTTGGAGAATGGTCGTTATATGGATTAGAATCCTGGAAATTAAAACAAGCCCACGTAATGAAAGTGGAAGCATTTGAGATGTGGCTTTACTGCAGAATATTTAAAATTGCATAGGTTGATCATATCTCTAATGAAGAAGTTCTCCGTCGCATAAAGAAAGGCAACTTGTCTTGTATATAATTTTGTTTTGGTTATATAATGAGAGGAGAAAGGTACAAAAATCTAAGACTGGTTATGCAAGGAAAAATTGATGAACTCTGCTCAAGAGGGAGATATAAAACTTCAAAAACAAAAAGGAGGGAAAATTCAAAAGGTGCGGTTGAGATGGGAAGTTGGTTTCCGTGTGGATCACGATAGCTCAAGTGGTAGAGCAGCGGCGTATCAAGCCGAAGATCGTGGGTTCGAATCCCGCTCGTGCCATTGACTTTTTTATCTCAACTAAAAATCTTAATTAATTGTAATTAGTTATATAGTTAGTATATAGTTTTTTTATATTCTCTGCTAAGAGCATTAAAAATATATATATTTCAAGGGAAGTGCTGGGATTCAAGCCAAGTTGGCCACGGCNGAGCAGCGGCGTATCAAGCCGAAGATCGTGGGTTCGAATCCCGCTCGTGCCATTGACTTTTTTATCTCAACTAAAAACCTTAATTAATTGTAATAGAAAATAGTGCTGATGCTTGCTAACTCTCTCTCGGAGACAGTACGCACAGAAAAAAAATTGCTGGAGCTGATCAATGCACAGCGAAAAAAAGCTTACTTAGGTCCAAGTCATAAGAAATCTGTGTAAATTAATTCTGGAATTATTAATCAGTCGGATTCCATCTCTGGAAATCGCATTATACAGTCATTCGCCATTTTAATTTTGTTCTTTCGCCTCAGGTTTTTTAACGTTTCAAAATGAAAAAGCGATCAAACATCTTGAGGAAAGAAAATTAGTCGACATTACCATTTCAAAATTAAGCCTAATTTTAATTAAAAATTGATTGAGGCCGAATGTAGGTAATAAAATGATTTTAGGGGCGTCGGTGGCCGCAACGTTTTCGGCGTTGACGCGGCGCTCATCACTGTAGGGTAACGGGCCCGGGTTCGAATCCAGCGGACCTGCATTCTTACCTGACATACTTACAAATGGGAATTTTTTCAAAACCACCGGCACCCCGAGGGTTTATACGACCTCTGCTGTTGCAAACCCTCGTTAAAAAAAAAAAAAAAATTATTCTGTAAGACGTAATCTCGAATGGTCAAATATACCACTAATGACAATTTTTGTTCGGATTATTGATTCCTGTATTATAAACATCTTCACCCCGTTTATTTGCTTGAGGTGGAGTAAGAAAAAGGCTCGACTCAAAAGAAAAGAACAAACAGGAAAAAGCATTGACCTAATTCTGTACTATTCCGTTCATTTGTACCCAACCCAGTCTTAAGGGATTTTTTCCAGTTTATTTATTTCTTCCTAATTCCGAAGCAGCCGCAAAGATGCTAGAAACAATCAATTACGCAAGCAGGCCGAATCAGACTGTATCGCGACTCGGTTTTGCAACCTGGATCATTTCCTCCAAGATCCGTAGCAATGCGAAATTATATTTAGTCAATTGTTGTAGTTAGTATGTTTCGCTGAGTTAAAAAAAAAAAAAAATTAAATCCGAATCTGTCTCCGGAGTCGTAAACATCATTTTAACTTAATGTAACCAAGTATTTTATGTAATAAATAATACAAATCTCTTTTTAAAAACGCATGTCGTCAATCCTAAATTATAACATACACATGTGTACACACATTACATATACTAATTTAGAATAATTTGGAATACGCAAAAATTATTTTTAAGTAAAAAAATGTTTAATATATTTGAGTTTTGCATTTATTTAATTTTAATTTTCAGGTATGTTGATAAATTTAAAATCAAGGCCTGAAAAAGCTCACTATGTATTATATGCTTAATAAAATTTTCAATTCTATCCAACTTTGGACCAAGCAATTAGCATTAACCAAAATATGCTTTTGCATTGATTTTCAATTATTTAAATGTTTATTATTGTTTGCTCTCAAATTTCTAACCTTTACCAGTTTCTAGAATACACGGCAGTAATAAGATCTAGATAAACCTGGTGGAAGAAATCTCAACAAAAAGTAGCTACCCAAACATTAGGCAGCATACAAAGACTAGCAAACCTATGTATCACAGGGGAAATGAGAACAACCCCTACAAATGCATTATAAACTCTGCTAAACCTACCTTCATAGGAAATATTTATACAAGGAGAAGCTAGGAAATGCTCACATAGGCTCCAAAAACAATTAAATTGGAAAGGAACTAAACAATTCGGCCATACAACCATAATCAACAAAATCAGACGCCCATTATTAGAAATGGGGTCTGACTATATGATCCCAAAAACATTTTTCACAACTTCGTACAAAGTCTCAACGGACTATAAAGGAGAGGAGAACACACGAGAGCATCAGATACAATTACATGGTATACTGATGCCTCCTAAACAAACGAAGAACCGAATCAGGCGTTTACTGTACAAGCACAAAACATGTGCAATCAAACTCATTAGGGAAGTACACTTCGGTCATTCAAGCAGAAATTCATGCCATCAATGGCCCTGGAAAATCTTATAAGTGGTTTCACTGGCAAAAATCTTCATAAGATCTGATAGCCAAGCAGCCATTTAAAGCATGAGCATGTAAAAGAATCACATCAAAATTAGTCAATAAATGCATCCACAATCTCCAAACCCTGGGGAAACACAACATCTTGATGATATCATGGGTGCCAGGGAACAGGGAAATTTTGGGTAATGAGAAAGCAGACAATCTGGCCAGAGGATGATCTGCAAGACCATACACAGGCCCCGAACCTAATCCATCATACGGTACGATCTCACGTTGCTGCAATTCACCCGATTTACTAGTTCACTTCGTTGCAAGTTCGATGAGAAACATCGATTCAATAGCCTACTTTCTTTACAGAAGATGAAGTATCCTTTACGTGTTCAATTAATTTAAATCATGCGCTATGATGAGCTTACTTATTCCACCAAGCCAAAATTGAGAAAGTCTGTAGTAACAGTTTCTGCAGAAATTTATAGTTTCTTTTAGATTTTTGTTTACCTATCGACAGATAGTTCCATGCATTTGTAAGGCTATTAAATATCTCTCATTGGGGTGAAATTGGAAAAAAAGTGTTGCTTCTCAGAAAACCAATGAGTGAATGACCCGAAATCCACTGCGGCAAAAGCAAGGATCACTCAGAGGAATTTACGCCCTACTTGAGGCTAATGAAGTGGCCCGGCAGCGCTCTCACTCTACCAAAAAACTGCCTTGTTGCCTGCCCTGATAAGGGCCGCTCTGCCAACTTTATGACACTCCACGAAACCGAACAGAAATAAGAAAAAGCCGGCTTTTCTTGGAGAGCTTCTTATTTTTCGTGATCGCCTGATAAATATAAGATGGACGGTTTACAAGATATAAGGATTATTAAATTTGTTTGTTTGCCTAATCTTATTCTGAACTTGTTCATCTTCTAGGGATATTGAACCATTTTACTTGCGTACAAACTTGCAATTTCTGCAGTGCTGAGTGGTAACATTACATACAACACAGTAATAATTTGAAAGCAAAAAAATTAAAATAATTACCCAGTTTACAGTATATTCCAGATAAATTCTTCATTATTAGGTTTCATTTCAACCAATACCTTACGTAAAGATTAATTAATTGAAAGAAGTTATTTGCTAAATCGGACCACGAAATATTAATTTAATAAGTAAAACGAAGTATATCTTCACTAAAAGCTACACTACATTTGAAAAATGGCAAAAAGGAGGGACAATTCGAAAGATAAGTTGAGATGGGAAGTTGGTGTCTGTGTGGATGGAAGTCACGATAGCTCAATTTTGTCAATATAATTATTCGTTAATTATTAGCAGTTAACCTGAATACTAATAAGATTTGCTTAATTCTGCTAAAGGCATAACGACGAATTATTTATTATTGATTGATTACTACCTAATAGAAAAGTAATAACCGGGTGGATATTTTATTTCAATTAAATCATAAAACTATTTTAAATATCATTAAATTTTTGGCTAAATAATTGTTTTTATTAAGTTATTATTGTTTTATGTTATAAATTCTCCATCACATTATAAATTGTCCCCCATGGAATAAAGTAAATATTTTATTATATAGAAAATATACTACTTTCCTCTTATATATGTATATATTTATTTTTATCAAATCTATTTACTGTATAAGAATATACTTTTAGTTAAAGGAGTTCCCCATTACTCTGAAAACATAAAATGGAGTGGCACCCAACCCAGAAATATTCCTTTGGTCTTTAATTTTTTGTTGTTTTCGTTTTGTAAATTGTCCCTCCATTCTCACCCACCACCCACCCCCCAACGAGGTACCGGGACAATTTTGTTCTGACCAGAAATAATTTGGGATGTAACAAGATCCCGTGTTCAAATCCTGGGGTCCGGAATTTCGAAACAGTATGCTTACAAATGTACTTTTTTTCAAAAACACCGGCACCCTCAGGGATTCCTATGGCTGTATTTTTTTTCTTTTTTTTACGAGGGTTCGCGACAGCCGAGGTTATATCAACCCTCGTGTTGCCGGTGTTTAGAAAAAAGCCCATTTGAATGTATATTGGGTTCGAACCTGGGACCTTTACCTTACAGTGATGAGCGCCGTGTCAACGCCTAAACCGTTGCGGCCACCGACGCCTCTATTGCATTGTTTGTAGGCAAGTAATTTTATTATACTGACAAAAGTACACCAATTACATCAATTAATTTCCGTTATCTCTCATAGGATCATATTTCGCCTTGATCAGTTTGGATTTGCCAGGACAAAGACGGCACCCCGGGCAGGCGGGCAGGCGCCCAGCCAACGGCAGTCCACCCACCGGGTATACCACCTGCATTGAACATTTAAGTTTTGCTTAGAGCAGCCGATCTTTCAGAGGGATGTGCACGCCACTGCTATCATCCACGTGCCTCCCAGATCAACAAATCAGGCA